TTTACAGCCACTTAATTACAGACAGGCAAGTATGAGGGCTTCACTTCTTCTTTTGTCTGACATGAATCAACATAGTGACATAATTAGTACATTTATGAACTCCACCAACAGTCAAATGATGAAAAGCAAATACATCCGCATTATTTAACAAGGTCATGACTAAAAATACAGGTTAAAAATATCCCATCCAACCAACCTCATTTATAAAGCATTCAAACACAATCACTGTTTCCCTGCAGCTGCTTCAGCCAAGGCTTCATCTGATGGAATCCATATGAAAGATGATTTCTAATCTTAAACACATAAAGGAACCACGAAGATGAGAGATTTAAAAATAAAAATCTCTCAATTCTTTATGTTACAAGGGAGTTTTTCCTCTCCACTGTCGCTACAAGCATTCTTAGTGTAAGAGATTGCTGAAAAGTCAATGAGTCGAATCAATTTGACTGTATGATCTGGTGAATTGCCTCTGTGAAATACCTTGAGATGTGCTGTAAATTGCCACAGTTTTAATAAATGGAATTGAACTGAACTGAATAGCTAAAGCAGGTGTGGCCTTACCTGCATATTTTTGATAGTCTGGAGGAGGAAATGTACTCCATGACTTCTCTCTGGCCCACGGTGGCCTGCAATCCAAATTCAAAATATGGAGTGTAGTTTGTTCCATTATTGTATCAAGCAAAGAAAATGTAAAATAAATGAACATTTGGAGAAAACAAACCAAATCTGAGTGGAGTGTCTGCAGTTCAATGCAGTGAGGAATGCTCTGATCTTTATATTGGAGAAACCAAACAACCTCTCCACAGACGCATGGCCCAACACAGAAGAGCGCCCTCCTCTGGACAAGACTCTGCAGAACATCTACACCTGATGGACAAAGGACATTCTTTGAGGACCAGAATGTTCACATTTTGGACAAATAGACAGGTGGTTTGAGAGGAAGGAAGCCATCTATGTAGAGAAAAAACAACCTTAAACAGGGTGGGGGGTTTGAGCTTTCAAAAACATGCAATGCAGCAATTTAGTCCCCCTTTACAGGAGAACAGAAGACCTCGCCTGTTCAGCCAGACCAACTATTCCCTTTAACCCTTTATAGGACAAGTCCTTGCATACCCCTTACAATGGCGGCCCCCCCCACCCCCCTTAATTCACCAAAAAAATGAGCCTTTGATTGATATATTACCTACTGTAAATTAAGTTGGGAAAAAAGTTAACAATTATATTTAGGTTTATAAACTAAAAAATGTCAGTGTCAGTATTAACGCATCTAAGGTTATGTTGAACCAAAAAAACATGTTTCTTTCACTCTCAGAGGGTTTTTCATCCATTTCTTATAGAAGAAATGTTGTTATTTTTCTTAATATATTCGGGTAAGTTTGAATTTCTTGTTATTACATTAATTTTTGCCATCAAAATATCAATTTTTTTTTATTTCACAAAGGTAATACAGTCTTATCCTGGATTCCAATAACACCAGTGGCTTGAAATTTTGATTTTCAAAGTATTTCACTGTGTCCTATAAAGGGTTAACTACCCCCCTTTCAGAGACATAGACAGGTATGGAGCATTGCAGGCTAACAAAGAAGCCAAACGACCCCCATTCCAAAGGGGGGGACCCATTCGTCCGTTTCTATTTGCATGTTTTCTAAACTAAAACAAGGTTTTATTGGGCTGCTGGATAAAACCTCAAACACTATTTCTGACATTTTGAATAGAAAAAGCTTCCTGGATGGAAGAGAAACGTCTTTAAACGTGGAAACAAAGTCCAGTGGATTGTTTTTAAATATTTTGGAAAAACTAGAACCCAAAAATGAAAGGTAAAATGTTCATAATCCTGAAAAAGGCTTTTTGATGATCACTTTGCTGTTTTCTTTTTTTCATTCTTTTCATTAAATGTTTTTTTGTCCCATTAAAATGCATGTAGAATTCTCAGATTTCAGCTAAATTTAGCTAAAACTTCACCATCTTTGAACTTTAAAAAATACGGAAGAGGATTAGGGCCACTGAAAAAAAAAAGTTAACTGATTATTTCAGTATAGTATGGGAAAAAAGTCAGAATTCTGACTTTTTTCTCAGAATTCTGACTTTTTTATT